AATTTTATACAGTTTTATACAGTATATATTCTTAATCTTGTTCTTTCCCAGTCTCTTTATATCTGTATAAAATCTCCTCAAAATAGTTCGGTCTTACAATCGGTTTACAGAATTTTTCTTAACGTTTTAATCCAAAATATTCTCTACTTCGCATTCTTGTGTACTCTTTTGCATCTCTACATACATCGTTTATTCTCTCCACAAAGACCCGTATCTCTCTTACTCTTCTTGCCTCACCTATTCGTTCCCTGATCTCATGATTCTCCAAACCTTATTATATACTTTAAAGATTTCAGATGTCTTCCTGCAAAAAACGATTTTGCTAAAATTTTTCATATTTTGTGGTTTTAGGTACACTTTCGTTTACTTCCAATTTTAGTTTCAGAATCATACGTAACCTCACCCAAGAACCCACTTTCGTGCAAGAATGTTGTCTTTTTACCTTCCTTGTATTTTCTATTCCCATGGAGTATCTTGAAATTCGCCAATATTTATTAGTTTTGTATTTTGTTTTGTTATATTTGTGCCCAACCCTCACTATTTATTCTTTTATCACCCTCGTACATCTCTCTCCGTTCCTTCGTCACCTCTCTCCGTTCCTTCGTCACCTCTCTCCGTTCCTTCGTCACCTCTCTCCTATTTCCTCGCTTGCTTCCTCCTCTCTCTCTCTTTCTCCTTTCCGTCTCTCTCTCCACCAATCTCTCCCATCTCTCCCTCTCTCTCCCTTTCTTTCTCTCTCGCTTCTCCTCCGTTTTCTCCCTCTCTCTCACCCACCCTCTCTTTCTTCCACCCCCTACTGCCCTCCCTCTTCTCACGAAGTGCTGCTTGTCTCTTTGTTCGACTTTCTCGACTTGTCACAATCTTACGTCTCTTTTCTTTTTCCTCTCATTTTCTCCCATCTTGGCTTTTTGAACACTCCCATTTATTCATCGCTGCTGCTCTGAGAGGTCGTCTGGGCTCTGGTGTGGACGCGGGGGTGGACGCAGGCAGGCCCCAGGGTAAGCGCGGGGAAGGGCCGGGGTCGCGGGCTGGAGAGAGAAAGAGAGAGGGTGGAGTCGGCGTTAGGGGAGAGCCAGAGGTGGGGACGGGAGCGTTAATGAGGGCCCGTGGCGAGGATTCTTCGAGGATTAATCTCCCGAGGCGCCTCCGGCGGCGAGGACCTCTCTCCCCAGGGCGGACGTCCTCACCTCACCTCACCTCACCTCACCTCGGCGAGGACAAAGCGCCGGCGCGGCCAATTACTCAGCGGAAGACGAAACGAATGGGCGGCCGCGTATTTATCACACGCGCATTCACTGCGCTACGTGTTAGAGAGCAGATTTTCAAGTTGCCCGGCGAAAAGAATAGGTTTTTCACACGGGTAATTTCTACCTGGTGGGTGATTATTGCTTCTACATCGATGAATGATAAATATTCTGGCGGGTCTTACGTATGGGGTGGGGAATTATCTCTCGGCATGAAAGTTTTATGAAATTTCGTTTGAAAGGAAAAATGTAACTGTAATTATTTATAACTGTATGTACATAGAAGGATTAAGATGTATTTTAAAAGTCACTCCTTGTATGTTCAAGTGACAATATTTTCTCAAAATTATTCTGAGAGAACCTAAATGGAAATTATATAGATATATTATACAGCTGTCGGAAATAATACGAAAAAGCACAGATTCTTACTGTATACATATAGAGTATAGTGCTCTATATTGATGAAGAAATAATTATTGTATAAAAGAAGACAGAAAATTTAGATTTATAATTTAGTGACTGTATAAATTTTCTTAAGATGATATATCATTCCATCAAATTTACTTGATGTTAATTTCTTTATTCATATTTCTGGAGAAATGAACAAAGCTCTACAAAGAAACGAACGAAGGCTGTTGTCGCAGAAAATACAAAATAGCAACGCAAGAACAGTTGATGCCCCAAAGAATTCCCAAAAAGTATAGAATTGCATAACGCATTAAATTAACGATACGTCGACTTTGATATTATAGAAATTTTCAGCAAAACGTTTGCTTTTTCAGAAAATGTTGATTTCACACCCCTTCTTGAACACATTAAACACTTGGTACACATCTGCAACTCGGGGTTATTGAGCTATACCATTAGAGCTTTGAATTATGGAAACTATGAAAATACAACAATAAATCAAATTGTATTTCCTTTACAATTAATTTTACTTTAGAGTGAAAATCATTCTTAATACAATGTACACTACTTGAACGCTCTCCAACTATAAGAATAATAATGGCGCATTTTGTTTACGTAGGTGAATTACGAAAATGCCTGTAGGCACGGAACTGGGTTCGCTTTATCAAACCAATTAGCCCGTTGCGCTTGTTAGTAAATTATCAAGATAAAAAGTGGGGAAAGTGATTTTTATTTTCAAAGTATTATTTTATTTCCAAATTAACATGCGCGTGTTAGTTGAAATTTTTAGATACAAATCAGTATTATAAATAATATTATTACTGAGAAAGTAAATGAACTACTTTTTAACAATTGTATCAACTTAACGACGAAGATAAAGGAAAAACTGTGAACAATTATTGCGGACCTACACGAAATTGAGCATGGTTGTACTACATAGTGTTGACGAGATAAAGATCATTTCATAACGTGCGCGGGTCCAGAAATAATGCGTATTCAGGGCAAAGCAAACTACAGTTTAGATCTGCCACCGTTGTTTTTTTTAAAGAAAAATAGTTTCTTTCAGAAATAAATTCCTAAATAAAGCCCGCTCAGGTTTAATAACAATGCAATAAATAATTAATATGTGACAATTAATTTGAGTAAGAAAGGTAATTTCAGTTTGTGTGCGCCCCCACATCTGCCCATCAGTAATGTATTTTATGTACACTGAAAACAAATAAATGATGCTCCGCCAAAATGACCTGAAGCATCGTACGAGAATTAAGATAGTAGATTCACCTACTGAAGGTTAAATATGCCCTACTTAGAAATCAAATAAAAACGTCGACGCACTTTTGTCTCCATATACGTGGAAAGTTCACGTCAAAAGCTAAATTTGATTTCGAATTACAGAAGCTAATGTTAACTTCTATGTCGGTAAATTTCATTATATTCTCACCCGCCACGTATCTTTTTCAGGTTTTTTCAAGATGGTATTCTTACATATTTTTTCTACAACATTTGAAGTACGGTATGCGTTTGTTTCTTTCCTTAGTAATCATTATATGATCTACAATACAAACCAGCACAATAGTTTATCTTATTGGTTGCTTAATGGTTTAGCTGGGTTCCTGATTGATGATATTTTACCACTAAAAAATATTAATTTATTAGCAGAATCCGTTGGAACGTTG